TGTCCCAAAGCCGCTGGCCGGAGACCAAGAGGACCAAAGGAGTCACAGAGTATATTTTTTTGAGAAAACTTTTGTCCTGCATCAATTTCCCAATTTGGTGTGCGGAATCATTAGTTGGTGTGCAAAAATGCTGAGGTTGCTCCAGTCCCTGGGTTGCGCACGCTACCAGCCCCATCATTTTGCCGGGGAGTTGCGCACCCGCAGGATGGGAGCATTAGCAAACTTGGTCGAAGAACATTCGGTTAGGATCGTTGCATGAATTCGTTTGATCGACTAAATGCTTCAACCCGCTTTGGCTTCATGAGCACAAACAAAACACTCCTGATGCATGCTTGTACAGGCTCCATTTATGAAGTCATATGCATTGATTGGCATGTCATGTCATGCGCAACGCATGCCCATTGTAGATTTTTGTTAAGTGGCCAGAAAACTGTTTGTGGAGGTGTTCCGTGGAGCACTGCGATTGCAAAGACTATGCCGACGGTCTATTGCACAAGACAGCAAGGCCGCAGTTGGTGTTCTGTTCCTCCCCTCTTTTGTAAATTCACATACTGGGTTTGTTTTACAGTCGTGAGAGTTGTTTGGTAGTTCTGGATTGGGAATCTTGGAAAATCTTTGGAGAGTCAAAGGATTAGTAGATGCCCGCTTTGTGTTGCATTTGTGTTTCGACCTGAAGGTTGATGTGCAGGAACAAATCTTGGAGGCTGGATCTTGATCACTTGGTGGTGGTTTCTTCCGTTGCAAAACGTGATTAAAGCCTTCAAAGACACCTGCATGCAACATCTTTTACGACAGACTCTGAACACTCCTTTCTTTCATCACGTCTTGAAAGTCGTGTATTGTAACTTCTGATCAGTTGCAAAAGGATCCTGATTGTAGGCATGGCAGCTTCTGCCTGATGGCCGTTTTCGTGGCAAACTGAGGCAAGTTTGATCACACACAATTGGACAGCTGAGACAGCTGATGCTTGTAATGCTAATCAGGTCATGTGACAAAACTAGAAATGCATTCATTATGGAGAACAGTGTGCAGGTCCGGCATCACAGTGGAGTTCCAAGGTGACTTGGTTGGGTTAGATCCTCAACTTGAATGAACAAATGGCAGCAGGCAACCACAGTCCGCTTATCAATATTTGGGTATGTATTTTCGGAAAAAGTGCGCAACTCAAGGCCGGAGGACCCTGGTGTGGTGATTGGCCCAGAGGGAGTGCGCTATGTGCTGGGTGAGGCCGCCATCGTTTCATACCTTTTTGGTGGACAACTTCAGTTTGCTGGATTGACGCCTTGCTTGACGCCCAAACATCTCAGATGCTGGGAAGATTGGTCAATTCTGCCATTGGAGGTGGTAACACGACTTGCGTTACGGTTGTTTAGCCCTCCCCATACACCCTTTGATACGCTGTGGTGGGTATGAAGGGGGTGAACAGTGATGGTCGTCACAATGGTTGTACAGAAATGGGACAATTAGTTATACAGCCTGGGAATCTTAGTGCAGTTAGAACTGAATGCTCACGGACCCCAGTGAACAGAGACGATGAACAAGGAAGGAGAAAGCTTTGTTTCTTTCGGTCTCCTCGGCGAAAGATGTGGACCAAAATGTCTTGGTACTTTGAACGCTGGAGATTTCAGTGTTTTGGCAGGCTGCGGCCAAGGAAGTATCTGCTCCTCCAAGCGAAGTTCCAGAGGGGCTGTTGCAGGCTCAAACTACATGCCATTACACTGAGCTGACGATGTTCGCAGACAGACACACGCACGCGCACACACACTTGAGAAGGTTGCTCCGTGGAGCGTGATTTCAGGTAGCTTC